TTGTTTTATTTTGTTTTGCTGGAAAGGGGGGGGGGGGTTGGTGAGGGTATGGGGGTGAGGGTATCTTGTACATCCATGGTAGACCTAAAGGGTCCAGCACCCATGGCAATTTGAGAAGTGGCTCGGTGTATCAATAAGTCTGCGAACTTGTGATCAAACAGCATCAGTCAGCATTATTCATACCACTGAATGATGTGCCCACATCCATGAGTGCTTTACATGCTGGGAAATGGCAGAGTTTTTTTTCTGAGGAAAGAGAAATGGGCTTTCCATGATATAAGTTTTGTAGAAAATGCTCTCACGTAGTCATAGGTAGCACTCACAAACTGCCCCTTACCAAGCAAATTCTTATCCAGTTGGCCCTACACTAAGCTCATGGTATATTGTCACCTGGAAAAGGTAAGTCCATGAGACATTTGAGATCATTTGGCTCAGGAACAGCTGTCCCGCCTTTCTTCGAGAAAGCTTTCACTTCTACTCTCAACTTGACAAACCCCTGACTGTAAGGTGCGGCTGAGAGAAAATTGCAATCCACTCTAACACTGCGTACAAACTTTGATGACAAGTTGGAGCTGCAAAATCTCGTCCTGCTAGCCTCAATTGGCCCCCGAGCCGCAACCTTGATAACCTGATAGAGGCTCAAGCGCTAATAACGATATTATTATTTCTTTGCAACCAAAACTTTTTTTAGATGGGATGCTTTTTATTAACATCGTAGGGCGACCCAAAAAATCCCCAGGAACTCTAATGCCAAGAAATTTAGAGAACTGTAAAATGTTGGTTTATTATGGCCAAAACCTTATTACCGTCCTCAAAAATATAATGTTGATAGAAGCAAAAAGTAATGTATGTATCTCTTTTCTATGATTAGGGGCCTATTGAGTGTAGCAGTGCATGGTTTGTGTGCATTTTATCTTTGTTATAATAGCTTTAGAATGTATCGAAGTAATTCTTAAAAGTAATAGGCTCTGGCTCTGTTTACTTCACCCGCAGATTTTACAATCAAAATGAAACATGATTAACTTTTTGTGTAAAAATAAAAGTTGGCCTACCGGTAATCAAATTTTAAAGGCTATTTTACTTGCTTCTCTTCAAAGCGGAATCAAGTCACTGTGTCTTCCCCGATATAACCACCCCAACCCCTCTATAGAAAAAAGGTTAGAAAGAAACAACTTCAAAAATAGACACATTAGAAAAATTAAAAAAATAATAATGTAACCCCCTCCCCCCCCCCTCCCTTTTGCTCCCGGACACATACTACAACAGAAATATAAACGAACGAAAGGAAACAAATATAAACAAAATCCACAAAGACAACAATGACCACTACAACAAAATAAAAAGAGCTCTACTTTGCTTGAATATTTCGTCATACTTACCTTTGAGGCCTTAAACAAAACAAAACAGAACAAAACAAAAACAGGAATGGGTTCTTAGAAAATGTTTTTCTCTCTCATATTTTGTACACAGTGTCTCAGTAACTGCTCAAACTACTTGACGGAAAGTAGGGCAAGTACCGGGAGTCGTCCCCAATCTTGTGAATAACTAATGCCCTTTCCAGAACATTAACTCTACTTAGTTGATCATGTTTCTATCATAATGCCTTCGGATGTTGGTTTGGGAAGAGAAGTCAGCCAAAAAAAAAAAAAAAGAAGGCTATTTGTAAGTTCCGAAGTGAATTTTCCCTTTTCGATAGACTACACCAGTTACCCTCATTTTATCCAAAACTGAAATGGCATGACTTGTAGCAATTTTATTGTGAGACCACATAACTACTTTCCCTGGCGACCTTATTTCGTCGTTAATGAGTTTTGAAGTTTGCAGGCCGGATTTTGACAAACATTTCAGGTATTCAATAATGGTTTGTAATAAATAGATAATGAGATAAAGGCCCTCGTAGCAATTCGGGATAAAAAAAACGTTGCCCAAATTTGTATCCGTCAGCCCTTATTACTATAGTTAAACTTCTTTAAATGCATCAGTTGGTGTTCACAGGTGCAAGCTCCTTCCGTTTATCACTGCACCCAATAATTATGAATTCTACAGTCCTTTCGAGTTGCCTGTTGACTCCAGGCCGAGGACTTTGCTCAGATGACCATACTGTTGAGCTTTGTTTTGAAAGTTTTTATTCACTTGTTTGGCATTTATAACACGCACACACACACACACACACACACACACACACACACACACACACACACACACATACACATACACACACACACCAGAATTCTACACACACACACACACACGCACACACACACATAAACAAACAAACAAACACACAGGCGCACACGCACACACATAATTTATTATTATGTTACTGTGGAAATTGTGTAAGAACAGCATGCACATGGACATCTGGGACAGCGCCATTACTTACTTACTTACTACCCGTTACGCCATCTGGCGTTTAGGGCAGCAACAAAGGATCTCCAGCTCTGTCTGTTTGGGGCCAACTTGGTCAACGTCCCGCACGAATATTTCCAGGACTTCATTTCAGACTCTACTGTGCGTCTCCGGGTCACTTTGGGTCTGCCCCTCTTGCGATATCCTTCGGATGTCCAGTGGAGGGCAGTCTTCACAATAGAGTCTGGTTCTCTTCTCAGAACATGTCCAATCCATCTCCACCTGCTCCTTTTTATTATGGTAGTCATGTCCTCTTGCCTACATTTTCGTAACAGATCTGCATTGGAAATCTTGTCGGGCCAGAAGATTCGGAAGATTTGGCGTAGGCTGGTGGTATGAAAGGAAGATAGCTTGGCACGGTGTTGATCAGTCATCCTCCAGCTTTCAGCTCCATATTGGAGTGTGGATAGTACGCAGCTGTTATACAGCTTTAACTTGGTATGTATACTAAACTGTCCTGACTTCCAGATATATTGATTATGCCTCTGGGTACAGATCTTGCCTTGCCTAGTCTGTTCATGATGTCTTCCTTTGAGCCGCCGTCAGTTTTGATTATGCTGCCAAGGTAGGTAAATGTGTCTGTTATAGGCAGGTCTGCGTTATCCACCGTAATCAGCGTTGGGGAGTCTACATTTAATGTCATCATTTGTGTCTTCTTCAGGCTTATTCTTAACCCAATCTGGCGTCCGTATTTGTGGAGTCGGTTTGTTTTTTCCTGCATGTGCTTGTTGGTATAGGAGAGTAGTGCAAGGTCATCGGCAAAATCAAGATCCTCGGGGGTGGAGAAGAGGGTCCACCTTATGCCTCCTGATGTATCCTCTGTTGTTTTCCTCCTGACACAAGCAATTGCAAGGTTGAACAGAATTGCTGACATGTTGCATCCTTGTCTAACTCCTGTCTTTACCTCAAAAGCAATTGTACTGTTTCCAACAACGCACTTGCAGTTTTGGTAGAAGCTCTTGATGACCTCAACTATCTTGCAAGGGATTTCATAAGATCGTAGAATGTACCAAAGACTTTCTCTATGCACACTGTCGTAAGCTTTGTCAAAATCAACGAAGTTGACATAAAGTTGTCTCTGCCATTCCGTGCACTGTTCTATTATGTTGCAGAGGGCAAATATCTTATCTGTGTGCCTTCTTTCTTTGCGAGATCCTGCCTGTTCTTTTCTTAAGCAGCTGTCCACGGCATCCGACGTCCGATTAATAATAATTTTGGACAGCGTCATATTAGGCCTATAGTGTAAGATACACGCAAGGGGGAGTGGGCGTGGCCGTTTGTACAGGTGTCTGTTGGCGCAGGCTCGACTTCATTATTAATATTTTTATTATAATTACTACAACTATAATCATGACTATTAGTAGAAAAATAACTAATATGTGTGTGTGTGTGTGTGTGTGTGTGTGTGTGTGTGTGTGTGTGTGTGTGTGTGTG